GAAGGTTGCGAGCATTTTCCAAGCAAGTAAATTTCATCAACGGCGCGATGAACGGTGTTTAAACGGAAGCATGTAGAGTGGAAATGTACGGAGTAACCGGAAGCGGTACGCAGATACCCGCGAACAGTGGCTGTTGTTGTTGTTTATCGGGAAAGTTTGGATCGGTTTTGCGAGGCGGCATGGTCGACCTTGCTCAGATTGCAATTGTGCCGGTAAATTGTTCCCAGGAGTTGAATTACAACGCTCCGCCCGTTCGCGGCAATTCCATTTGCCGACTTTATTGCGTTAACCGGTAGAACGGGTACAAGAGCACGAGGAGAGCCACGATGGAAAACGGCGAGGAAGAACCGGCTGCGACGAGGTGATAGATCAAAAGGCTTTGTTGGGGCGGACTCCTCTTCCTCCTCCTCCTCCACCGTCTCTTCCGCTTCCCTTGCGGAAGAGTCGATTACTGGGACGTCTGCGTGGCGGTCTGTCAATGGATTCTGGGAGATCTCTCCTCGCGAGCGATGATTTTCTGTGAAAATTTCCACGATCGAAACTCGCAGGATGGGGGTGGATAGACTGGAATCTGGAGAAATCGTGGAGAGAAGCGGGATTATAAATTGAAATTAATTTTAAAAGTTAAAAGTTGGACGGACGAATGGGGAGGGGAGGATAGAGTGGAAAATGGTGTCGGGTAAGATACGTAAGGAAGGTTGTGCGAGTTGGAGATGTACGAGGCGTTGAAATTTGTTAGGAATTGTGGATAAAGGGCGAAGTTGGGAGAGAAGAATTTACAAATCGAACGAGGTATGGAAATAAGTTCATTGAAAATTAAACTACTCCCTTCTTCCTCCCCCCCAAGAGGAAATAAAATGTTTCTCGAGTTGGAATGGAATCGAATTGTGCGAATTCGAGATCGTTGGAGACGTTTGAATTGAAAGTTTAGCTCGAATTTTTGATATGCGATGTGCACAAGGTTTTAACGATCTCGTGGAATTTTTTTTTTTTTTTCTTTTATGGATTCCATCTGTGAATAAGTTTTAAAAATTACTGTTGTTCGACCCGTTCATTATTTGTACGAGTTTTAAATCCTAATATCTTTAAATTCGTTATCAAGAATGTTTTTTAAATACTCGATTTAAATTGGAAGCAACCATACAGCGGATGAAAGAACGACGGAGAGAAGAGCTTCTTTGCGCGATTCCTACATCAACTTTTAATCCATATTGTAAATTATACGGAAATCTCGTTAATTTCCGCAAGTGTTTGGAAAACATCAAGAAAGTTTGTCCATTTCGCGGAATACCTCAACCCTGTTTTTCAAACTTGATTGAATTCAACCACTTCTACAAGTTCTTAAATTAAACTTAATATCTCACTTAATCGTTCGAGAAGAGATTATTTTAATGAGAGTCTATTATTTTCTTTTTTTTTTTTTTCTGTTTATCGTGTAAGAAGACGTCAGTAGATAACACAAGAGGATCAAATTTTTGCCAACACTTCTTTCACGCTTTTTATTTATTAATAATTCTTTAAATACAAAGTATTTGCAAAACAAAAAATCCTAATTAGATTCTAATTAGAAAGGTGCTATAAAGCTACACTTCTTTATCAAGAGGAGAAGTTATTATCAAGAGGAGAATTTCGTTTTTCAATCAAAAGCGTTAACGATCTCGTGAAGGATAATCTTACTCCACCTTTCCACATTTCTCCCTAATTTCAATTGAACGTTTTCTGCGTGCAAGAAAGTGCTTAACAAGGTTACTTTGTCCAGAAGAATTTTTAAATATCTTTCAACAATTTTGTACCAATTTCCTTTCCTCTTCCCACGAATCGTAACGAAGACACGACACGGAGATTCGCAGTGACCTGTGACCGTTCGTTAGGAACTTTTTTCAATAGGATTATGCGAGAGATTAGGTGCTCCCGTTTTCGATAAAGAAGATTCGACAAAACGAGAAAGAGAGAGAGAGAGAGAGAGAGAGAGAGAGAGAGAGAGAGAGAGAGAGAGAAAATGAAAATTCGACATCCACGATGGAAGCCAGCTTATCTAAAATCGTTCTCCTCTGCTTCGTCGTGGACATTTTGTTGCCATCCGCGCCCGTTTCGTCGTTTTAATTATTCCGAACGTCCGCTCACGCGCAACATGGAGCCGTAATCAAAAGTTCCATGCTCGCCGTTATCGTTTCCAACTTCTCTAATCCAATTTCACTCTTTATCCCCGATCTATGGCCATCCTTTCTGAATTTCTGGGATGCATCGATACTTTTTGAAAATTGTTTACCTTTGCAATTTACGAATTTGGATAGGAATAATTCGACGAAAGTAAATAACAGGTATATAAATTAGAATCACTGTTCGTAGTCTCGAGAAAAGAGATTATGGAATAGAAAGAATTCGTCCGTATATGTATGAGCGAAAACAGACACGAGAAAAATTGACGCACAAAAATGTAGATAAGATTCATTTGTTAAGTTGCAAGCTTATTTAAATTCTTCAAAGAAATGGAAGAAGACGTCTCTATGATATTCGCTCTTTGTCTAGCCCGGAAAATCGATCCAAACGGAAATGTTGAGTCGAAGATATTCGAGCGGAAAATAAATTATCGCATATCGACGGTCCCTCGAAAGAATTCCGTTCTCGCTCGCTTTTCTTGCGAGGCTAGCGTTCGTTGGCAGAATTTCTTGGTGATTTATGTTACATTAGGTCGTGAGGATCGAACGAAAGAAGTATTCAACGTGCATACACGGGACCACCACGTAGCTGGTAGCTCGTGAACCAAATTGAAATCGCACGAAAGAAAGTAAAGTAATATACCGTCCACGTTAAAGATCCTTTCCTTCTGGTTCGCAACGCCATTTTCAAGACCTATTTTTCGTGATTTTTACGCGATGTTTCAACGAAAACACGGATTAAAACGTCGATGTTCGATTAACCCCGAGGAACGTCCATACCCCTCTTCTTCCCCCTTCACGATCTCTGCGTCTTTCCATCCCGCTCACCGATGGTAAACAGGAGGCTGGCTGCGGCTGGACTTGGAGCAATTAATCGTTCCACGACCGCGTCGATTAAACAGCCGACATCGTCGCTATCGATCTCGATCAGAGCTGTTTGTTTCCGGCGGAAGGATCTTCCGGGGAAAATCAACACCCCCCTTTTTTGCGAATCCTGCTGGTCTGGACGATTGGGTGAACGATGGCCAGTGGTTATCTTGTTTGGAAAGGAACCGAGGAAACTGGAGGCCAATTTAATATCGATGGATCTGATGGATGAAATTTTTTAATCGTCGAGTCAAGTTTGGACGGGTAATAATCCGTGTGATCATCCAATTTGAAGAAGAATTCTTCTTCTTCGTTATGGATATCAACTCCTCTTGACTCAACCGAGAAACTTGTTTATCTACGAAGAACTCTTATCCTTGAAACTCCAAACAATCACTCGAAATCCTTCGATCGAGGAAACCATCGATCTCGGTACAATGGTCAGTTTTTCCAACAGCGTCTCGTTGAAAGATAAATTCGCATCGATCAAATTTCTGATCAATCTTGGCTCGGAAGCGAGTTGAGGAATAGGAAACGCAGTCGGAAATATCCTTTTTTAAAAGAATATTCACGGGTCCGGGCGATATATCCCTTCATTCTTATCTCGTAGAGAAGAAGGCACAATACCTTTTCGACGTGGTATATACAAAGCTATATACATATATATATATATATATATATGTATAGAGAGAGAGAGACGATCGAATCGCCGAAAGTATACAGCTGGCTCGCGAAATTCCACAGGACTTTCATCGACATTACAATAACTGCAATATATCCGGCCGCGGGTCTGTTCCTTCGCGATACCAGGCGACGGGTCCGCGGCTTTGGTGGATGAAAAGGAAGGTTGTACGCGACGGGGGGGATGAGAAGACAGGAGTTGGTTGGGAGGAAAGGTTGGCTGCCAGTCGACGACGGTGCAACAATGGCGGAATATAAATCTAAATCCCGAGCGCCATCTTTCCTGTCCCGTTTCTCGCCAACCACCCCTCATCCTTCGATCCCTCGCTCCTTTCAATCCCTTCTATATTCTCCCTTCCCATTCTCTTCTTATTCGTCCCCTTTGTTGTCTATTTTCCCTATCTCTTGTGTTCCGCTCTACCATCACCACCGTAACCGCCCGTTTATTTCTCGCTTCCTTCTTGCCTCGCGCCTCTTCTGTACACCTCGTGTGTACAGAGGGACAGCTGGGACATTTTTCTCCCTACAACTTTTCCCCCCTATTCGATACAGACGCGTCTCGTCTCGTCTCGTCTCGTCTCGTTTCGTTTCGTGTTTCTCGTTAAATCTTCCTCCTCCTTGTCCGTGATTATATTTGTTTTACACCTCGTCCAAATTGGACAGGTATTCCGGGGAGGGGGGCTCTCTTTTTCCTTCCTCCGTTTCGCATTTTATTATTTATTTCTTCGCCCCTCGCCTCACCTTTAATTGTGTTTCCCCTATTGTTTTAATTCTTTCCTTTCTCTCGAACAATGTTTTCAAGATCTTTCTGCCTTTCTTCCATTCATTACCCTCCCCTTCCCTTTCTCTTCGTTTTCATAGCTCACCTTGAATGTCTTCCTCGCTCTTTTTTTTTTCTTGCATTCTATCCACGCAGACGTTCCCTCCTCTCCTTCGCATTCTTCATTTCGTCGTTCCCTCTTTCATTTTCTCGCTTCTCTCTTTCACTTTCTCCAGGAGAATAAATATTCCTCCTCCTCCCTCCCCTACGACGCGCCCTACCATCCCTTATCAGTATTTACGAGCAGACGTACGCGTCGTTCTCCCCGTACGAGTCAGTTTTTCACAGTTGGCGTGCGCGCAATGTGTGCGATCTTAATGCTAAAACTCCTCCCCTCTCCCCCCTTCGGGATCGCGCGTTTCTAACGTTCCTTTGAAGATTTTTAATACGGAGAAGTTTTCAGCGGATTCATCATACTCATCATCATCATCATCATCATCATCGTCGTAATATTTCTTTTTATCTGTTTACAGAAACCGGTTGGAAAGCAATACGGAACACTGGAACGCTCTTCTCTTGTCTTTGCGCGAGCTTATCGAATGGGTGATCAGAAAAGACACCGAGCTCACCGGTTTGGGCCCTGTTTGCGGGGATGTAGCCGCCTTACAAAAACAAGAGGCAAGTTTCGATCTTACATATAATATCCCGACATATTTAAAACGATATTTAAAACAAAACTTTCCATTTATATATCATCCGACGATTATTCCGTTGATCTCAAGTTTTCCTAATCGTCGTTCCCCATCGTCGAATCGAAATCGTCGAACTCGTTATCCACGAGTTTGCCAAACCGAGTTAAAACGACAAAGACGTTGAGAAGGATCCACTCCCAATCGCAATCTCTCGTAGCAAATAGGCTCCCGTGTACCTCCTCGTGAACCCTGTTGCCCGTAACCTACCGGAATCGACTGGATTACACGAAAATGACGCAATTAGGGGGAGGGGGCGAGGTGTGTGCGTGGACACGGACGAGGCACGCGTCGTCGTAGGAGGTCCCCTCTCCTCCCCCTACGGCCCAGTTTCCACGCACAAAGACGGACTAGCCGGGGCTAATCCAGATTAGAACGTGCATGTTACCGAGCTGCGAGTGTACAGGGATGATAAGGTGCATGTTAGCCCCGATCCCGATCACGGGACAGTCATCGACGCTCGACACCTGCGCCCCCTACTTATCGCCTATCCCCCTAACCTACCCTTAATCGGTCGGATATTAATCGAGGACAAGAGTTTCGGGGGAGGGGAACTCGTAGTAGACGCGTTGCATTGACGTTTTCAAACGTCGTATATGTGTGTGTGTGTATATATATATATATTCGGCTTAACGAGCTCGACCGATTACGTGGACGAATAAATAAGCTCGAGGGGGAGAGGGAGAGAAAGAGAGAGGGAGACAGTATCGATTGGGCCGCTAATTACCCCGGGCGATAAAGTAAGTCGCGATGGGGATCGTTTAACAGGCTACTGGTTCCCGAGCCAATTCGAAACGCGGATCGAGATGAGGGATTCTGGTCCGAGTATCTGATTGATGAACGCGTATTTTGAGATTGATGCCTGAGGGAGACGGGGGTGTTGAATACGTGGTCGTTGAACAGAGAGGAGGAAATAGAGAGAGAGAGGTGGTAGAGGGAGTTTTTTTTTTTTTTTGTTAGCGTGGAAAGGAATTATTTTGAAAGGTTTTGGAGAATTGAGAAATTGAGGAGTACGTATGTGTATTTTGTGTTGAATTTCTTTATCGTTTCCTTTTTCTATTATATTTTTTTATTTTCTTCTTCTTCTTTTTTTTTTTTTTTAGAGGGAAAGGTGGTATGTGTATATTAATAACGAAACGTTTCATAAGCGTGTGGGGGTGCAGAGTATATCGTTAAAACACTAGGCATGTCACAAAGTATCGTATGCATGCGAAAGCCAACGTCGTCAACTGTTATCCAAACGGTTTCAAAGCGTAATGTATTCCACGCGGATATCAGTTAGTTCGGTCTGTACACAGGGATGACAAACGGGTAAAAAAGATCGCAGTAGCGGGTACAGGTGGTACAAACAATAAGCGAGTTTCAGGGATACGTGATACACCGATGTCGCATTTGCCATGCATGAAATTCAAAAAAGCTCTCGAGGAACGTGTGTTCGCGTACCTTCGTGTACGAGGAGTTAACGATTGAACGCTTCAAATTTTAGATTTCCAATTTTTTATAGTTTTCACAAGCTTTGACAATTTACCTATATATAGGCGCTACCTATAATATTTCCAAATTTAACTATAGCGCAGTTATATCGCGAACTTTGAACGCGTTTTATTTCAGTTTCGTGAAATTGAAAATTCAAATTTTTTTAATCCAAAGTATCCAAATTATTAGATAGAAGTATCCAAGAATTAGATAGAAACGCATACGTTTTCATTGTTTCGCACGAACTCTCTCATTCGATTTTAAAACATTTTCAACGTCGCTCTTTCTCGTTTGCGATCGTGATACGATATGGGGTTGTAACACGTGCCCCCGTACAAACTCGAACTACGTTCCTCGAACATTCGAACGAGTGTAAAACTGGTGGAAATTTCATTGCGCCTGTCGTTCCAAAGTAATTGTTTCTCGTTTCGTTCATCGGTTCTCGAGCTTCGTTTTTCAATCGTGTTCCATTCGAATCATTTGCTACTCGTTTCCAAAAAAGAAAAAAAAAATAACCGCAAGAAACTTTGGTATAGTGTCGAAAAATCGAGTATTTCGATCGAATATTTTCAATATTTTCTCGCGTAAAAATTTCAAGTGTAAAAATTAAAACTAACGTCACCGGGCGGGGGAGAAGGGAAGGGTGGAAATGCAGCCGACTAATGACCGTGCCAGGAGTAAATCCTACAACAGAACTCTCCGCTGTTGTACAGTAGTTTAACAATATAGCGGGCAACGTGGATGGCGGAATTTCCGGGGAATGGCTGGTGTACGAATGGCGTTCTAATTCGCGCGCAAATAATTGCGCATAAACGAGCGATGCGACGCAATAATTTATGCAAATTATGAGGCGTCACCTGCCGCCCCTGGCATAAGACTGTGGCCTCGCGAATAGCCCGTTTTCACCGCGAGCTTGGATTCGTGTTTGGTCGGAAGATTAATCGAAGCGCGTTTCGTAGAATATGGAAATTGTAGAATAACAATTTTTGGTTCGCGCTTAAATTAAATTATCTTAGACGAACGAAACCAGACACACTGTGCGAAGACAGGAAATGATTCTCATATCAAAATCGATATATCGATGTATAAATCGCGAATAAATCCATCGACAAATTTCCTTCTCGAATTTCGATTATAGAGTAAATGTTAATACAACCCTCGTACGACGAAAGGGGACATAAAATGCCATCGAGACACCCGAGCATTAAAATTCACGATTAATAACCCCTAAGTTGCGCGTATCATATGCACCATGGCATGCTCTTCACAAAATTTACACTCGACATCTTCGCAGATACACCATGCATAGCGCATCTTAGCGTCCTTGCCTTGCATCCAATCTGTATCTCTGCGCCCCGAATAATGCACAACGCGTCCCACCGGTTGCGTAGCATCCAGTCGTATACTATTCATTAAGCGAAATACACGCGTATAATACACGCGTCTACATTACGTACGCGCGTTAATACATTCATACGCGACGATTCATTATCCGTTAACGAACGCAAGATCCCTCGATGTCGAATAAAAAGATATCGAATCGTATCGATATAGGAGTGTCTCGGTGTTTGAAAATGGCGGCGCGAGACATTATAGCCGCGTGTCGAATCGAAAACGGTTGAGGAACGGTTGGTCGAATCGGGTGTTCCATGGTTGAATCGAATTCATTAGACGATAGAGGATCCCCCTTGTGGGGGGAGTTCGATAGAGGTTCGATGCGTGGGGATCGTTTTATCCGTGCGTGAAATCGCAACTACGAGAATCGGCTCGAAATACGTAGTCTCGTCGTAAACGGGGATCGTCGTCGTTGCAAACGATCGCCTATACGGTCTCGAATCGGTTTGCTTAACGCGAAATCGATCGAGCACAACGAACGAACGGTTCGCAAAGCGCAAAAAGGAAATGGCCGAGACGGCAGAGATTATCGGGCGGAGAGGAAGGGGAGGGGGGCCGCGAAACCGACGATTATCGGCGGCCACGGAATTGATTTGAACGAGCGCGTATCGATCGCGAACAAGTGCAAAGAGCTACGGTTCGATACCTCCTTCCCGTTCTTTTTTTTTTTTTTTTTTTTTTTCTTTCTCCCCACCGAATTCCTTTAATTACCGATATTTCCCCCCAATAATCACCGAGAATTAATTGAACGCGGTTGTTGGAAAAATTATTTTCGCGGTTTCTAGGAGATCGAAGCGACGATATTTTATGGATTACGGGGAGGGATCGGCTAATCGTTCATAATTCTGTCAAGAATTTTCTGTCAGATATCCTGCGTTATTACGGTTCATACAAACACACCGACTAACTAAGAGTGTTTTTTCTTTTCTTTAATTATAAATCATCGATATCATATTGTTTAATGAATCTGATTAGTTCAATAAATATTTTTTTAGGAAGGAAATTATCGTGAACCGAAGCTCTTAGTTTTTCAAGAATCAAACTACGCTTCTGTCTTCTCGTAATGCGAAATCCGCGTCACGCATAACTTTCATCGAACCGGCAAAAGTTTTCGTTGTCAGAAGTAGTGGTGGAAATAAGTTTAAGTGGCTATAAAGTTGACCCATTTTCCATCTGGGGAACGTGTGTGTATTCACGCGTTTTCGAAAACGAGCATCGCGATTTTTAACGATCCTATCGTAGATAATCGTGAAATGGATAGGTTCAATGATCGAGATCCCTCAACGTTGAGCATTGACGTAATACTGGCTGAATACGTTGAGCCACCCCGCGTAATTAACCCCGTCATTCCGATAACCAATACGATAAGACGATTATCTCGACGTGGCCAATTAGAAAACGTCTAGTGGCTGAATAGAACGGACGATTTTGGAGTTGCTCTCGATTGCCGATAGATCGATTTTACTCGATATTTTCGCGTTATCCTCGAGTATCCTTCGAATATCATCCGAATCCTGTTGAAAGAATTCTCAAATTCTGCTCGGATGGCGATGAATGATTCACGAAAGAAAAAAAAAAAAACCAGATTGAAAGAAGTAAGTAAATTCGTAGAAGAAATTATGTTGAAAATACGAAGAAAGAGTAATCGAATTCTGTTTTCCAGCAATGAACGTTAAAAAAAATTAGAAGAATTGGAGATTACATTGGAAGGTGTAAAAAGGATAGGTGAATCTCCCTAACAATATTATCAACTAACAATAATAGGTTCTAAAGGATACTCGAGTCCTTGTTTTCGCAGCGAGTTAAAAGTTGAAAATTAACTTAAAAACCGTGTTCAAAGGTGTAGGTGAATTTCGCAATTTTCGACGCGTACGTCCAACTATCTGTAATTGGATACTCGAATCTTTCGTTTCGCAGCAATGATAGTTAAAATTAACGGGAGCCACATTGAATGGTACAAAAAGATAGGGAAATTTTTCTAATTAAAAAACCGAGTTCCCCGGCGAATTTTCATTCGAGATAAAAATTCCATTCCCGATTAATTTACATCTACTATCACTATATCTCCCCCTGTGGAGGCTCGTATTAAACGCGCGTTTTAAAAGACGCGCTCCAAGGACGAAAAAGGAAGATCGTGAATAATTCTCGCTCTTTGATTTGAATCGAACACCTGAATCATATAACGAGCCGCTTTTTTTTTTTTTTTTTTCCATAGTCGCTCTTCCGAAAGAGGAGAGTAGTAGCTCTGCGGTCGCAACAACGAAAGTAGGTGAATTATTCCGGCTCGTTTCGAATGATTTTTTCGCGCGTTCGTCGTCGAAAAAGACATCCACGCGCCATCTCTCGGTTGTCGCTCGAAAAATACGAAGATACAAGTCGACGACGAAGCGACCAAGTGTAAAAAATCGCCATTTCTAACGAGATAGGAAACGAGCATAGAAGCGAAACAAAAAAAAAAAAAGAAAGAAAAAGAAAATAAGCGTGTTCTTGTGTCTAAATTTTCTCGAGGCTCGCGAAAGCGAGAAGAAGAGATAATCTCGTTAACGAGAAACCGTCGTCGGATTATATATATATATATATATATATATATATACGCGATATCGTGAAACTTGCAGATCTCTTTCCCTCTCTCTCTCTTTATGTTATTCGTTTTTGATCATCTCTTTTTTCATTTTCACGTCTCTCCACTCGCGTCAACCATTCGCGGTTTAGAGTCGTCTGCGCCACGAAGCGATGCCTTGTCAAACGAAATTACGAATGCACGCGGCGGACGGGATGAAGACGACGTCGATGGGTGTGCGCTTGGTCGCGACGTTTAAAGCCCGGTGAATTAGCCTACTTAGGTTGTCGGGCGAGCAAACGAGCAACAACTCGAGCGTGAACGGTCTCTTTCCCCTCCTCCCCCCTCACGTGGACGCGTTTCTTCTGCATTGCAGGACGATCATCGCGGGTTCAGGAGGCAGCTCGAGGACAAACGACCGATCGTCGAGAACAATTTGCTGAGCGGACGGCAGTACATCGCCAACGAGCCTCCCCTCTCTGACACGTCGGATTCCGAAGGTGAGTCGATTGGCTTTTATTTTTCTTTTTCTCGTAGTTTCCACAGTTTTCGCGTTATATTATCAGATATAATATAGATAAGGGGATATTTATCTCCTCCGTTGAAGAGAATTTAACATTATTCGAGGTGTGTTTGTTTGTTGAAAAAGGTGTTTCGTAAAAAGAAAAGGAAGAAAGAAAAAAAAAGAAGGCTTCGGATAATTACATCAATTTAATTAAACACCTTGAATAAAATAGAGATTCTGTTAATGGGATAAGATTTCTGAAAATGCGTCAAAGGTTTAATTTAATTTCGAAACGTGGTCGGTTTTAATTAAATAGATGTTCTAATTGAAATCGGAACACTGGATATCGAGATATCCAATCACGAATAATAGAAAAGTATCGCATAAAGGTCCAATTATGGATAGTAATTGTATTGGCTCTAATTAAAATTTAACCTCCCTCCTTAGAAATATGTTTGAACGGTTTAGACACTCGGAGAAATAACCAAGTTCGGAGCTCTTAAAGCTGTTTAAGGACTTTGTAAAGCCGAGTAAATCTTTGTGAAGCCAAGTTTAACGACCCTAGTTACCGATTTGAATTGAAGCTTCTGTAAACGAAATTAATCGTTGAAGCAAATGAATCTTTCTCTTCTTTCTTGAGGAGGAATGTGGAATGAATATCTCGAAAAGAAATTACGATAATTATTTTAAACCGAGTGATAATTAATCAACCAATTATTTATACACAGATTTTAGAATTTCCTTCCTCTTTAAGTTAACTTCTTCCGATATGAAGACCAATATCGATATCTTTTTTTGGAAATATCGAATTCTACGTCTAATTTATGAATGATTAAATCTTCCTCTAAATCTAAACAGAAAAATCTCGACGTAAAATCGATCTTCATATCAACGCATCCAACATTTCTATAAAAATAATCCATACACGAGATTTCACGAAAATCAGTCAACGAAGACGAAGGGGATGGATGCATCTACTTTCGATGCGATAAAAATAATTTGAGGCAAAAAGGAATCGTCGGCCACGGCGATAATCCAGGGAAACGAAAGTTCACTTGGAAGTGTAAAGAAAAAGTCGGCCAAGTACGTTCGTTGGCTTCCTCCGAGAACTGGTCCGCAATCCGCGACCGACTGAATTCGCCAATAGCACGGAAGCTTAGTAATTAAGAGGCGCGGCCGTTTTACCGTTCTCAATCCCGGTAATTCGTGGCGTTTTCCTTTCCGCGATTTTTCCATACCAATTAGACGCGAGAAAGGTAAGGAGAAGAAAGCCGATCGGTTGTGCAAGAATTCAGACTTTTCTCGTCTCGAGTTCGAATTTTTCGGATAACAAGGAGGAGGAGAGGAGGCTTTTTAAGATATTGAGAACCGGCCGTTTTCAAAGTGCATCGGCCCGCGTTTGCTTCGGAGAATTATTATTTTCTTCGAATTCGAAGAGGGAAGTTTGAACAGAAATTGTTCGACGGGGCTAATTTCAGATTATTTTCTTAATCGTGTTTAAAGACAAAGCTTATGTATCCATATAGGCGAAAACAATCGGAGTGATCGTTCTAATCTAAATTAGATCAGAAAGAGTTTATCAATTCTTTTTAATAATTCAATCTCCGATTGGACATGGATCGAAACGAGGAAAATGAGGAATATTAAGTATCTTTCGATTAAAAGTTGGAAACAAGCGTGGAGACGACGGATTACTCTTCTCTCCGTGTTTCGGGGGTGAACGTTCAGAAATTGAAAACGGAAGACGGTGGGAAGATGGGAGGGGGGGCAAAATTGATTAAAGTTGTAGCTTCAAAGGATGGCCCCTCGCGGGAATTTGTCGCCGCGGAATGAAGAGGATTGTTAAGTGGGCTGATAAAATACGAGAAGTTTTCTCTTTCGCTTCCTCCTTTTTTTTTTCCTTCTTTTTTCTCTCTCTCTCTCTCTCTCTCTTCCTCGCTTCCTTTTACTCAAGCCAACGGAACAAGAGCCGGCCCTTGGAAACGAGCTTCATTCGTTCTTGTCACCGGCTTTCACGTACAATAACCACGGCGTACATGTAACCGTGGGTCCCTCTTGAATATTTCATTTAGATAATTCCACCCTCTCGAAACGGGGATTATTAAGAAACGCGAAACACGGGAATTTATGGTTATTTGACCAAGAAGAAGAAGAGGAGGAGGAGGAGGAGGAGGAAGGATTCAACCGAGAGAGGGGTGGGTTCTTGCCAGAAAATGGGGGCTCGTCCATTAAAGGGAAGAAACAAACGTCACCGGACCGCCCCTGTTCCCTGCCAGACAAAAGACAATGCCTTTCATTTTCATTCTCGTTAGAACGACACGAGGATTGAGTGCATCTCTGCTTAATTGTTCCTTATATTAATTAGCTTCTTAAAAAAAAAATGGAAGAAGAAGAAAAAGGATGAATATATATATATACATATACACACAATATCTCTTCCAAGTCGGTCACTACGATTCTCAACTTCGCGATACCATTAAACGTTGAATAATGCAGTTTCTCAACGTGGTGTTTCCCAACGTGGAAACAAAAACTTGCGCGGTCAATGGTCAAACGAGAACCACTCGAGGGGAACCGCGGGACCGTATCAATCTAGTTACGAGTATCCAAGTGGAGAGAAACTGGCGAAACTTGTAAGGTTTGGAAGAGAACGTCTCGCAGGAGGTCGGAAACTCTAAGCCCCAACTTTTCCTGGCAAGTGTTATTCGCTTCTAATATCGGATCCCTCCTCCCATTTTCGAGGAAAAATGATTTTTAAAAACATCCTTATTTTGATTTCAAATAGCTCCGATAAAAATTCCATTTTCGATCCGCTATTGAATCAATCTCCTCCTCGACCTTATGGAGGGTTGAAAATCGTCCGTCGATGGATATATAGAGTACGGTATTCGTTCTAATATCCATATACATCTCCCTCACATTTTTCCCCAACATTTTTCAAAGGGAAATGATTTCTAAGAAAAAACATCGCTATTTTGATTTCAAACCGCTCCGATGAAAATTCAATTTTGATTAAAAATCAAGATCAAGATCACAGTGTTCCGTCGACGGATTTAGATAATATCCTTTCTTTTCTACATTTTCCGAGAGAAATGATTTCCAAAAACACCGTTGTTTCGATTTCTCAAACCTCTCCGATAAAAATTCCATTTTCGACCCGCTCGCATCAATCTTCTCCTCGACCTTATGAGAGGTTGAAAATGGTTCGTCGATGACGGCGCGTATAGAGTGCATCGTTCGCTCTAATATCCGTATATACATCTTCCTCCATTTCCCCCACGTTTTCAAAGAAAAATGATTTCAAAGAAAAAACATCGCTATTTTGATTTCAAACCGCTCCGAAAATTGAAAATTCCTCGTCCTCGCCTTACGAGGGTTAAAGATCACGGTGCTCCAACATCGACATACTTCCCCTTTTCCACATTTTCCAAGAAAAACGATCCTAAAAAACCACCGTTGTTTCGATTTCAAATCGCTCCGATAAAAATTCCATTTCCATTTCGATCCACCCCCTCGTACGGGGGTTGAAAATGGCAAGATCGTCGATGATCGCCACTGAAGCAATGGTCAGTTACAAATTGCGAACTACTATACGCGTTTCTGAGTGGGGGAGAGGGGATTCGATTCGATTGGATTTCACGGGCCAGATCCCGAACAGCTGGGCAAAAGAGGTCGATAGCGGAGCACGATCTCTGATGGCGTGCTGGGATGCGGCGTGTTATATGCGGTTGAAATTTATTGACGTTACGACAACGCCCGAGACTGCTCGATGCCGTGCACGTTTCATCGAACGTGACTCCCTGTCGAGCAGCCACGAAATCGTGCATCGGGCGAGTTCCGCTTGTCCTCGCGCTGGAGGCGGCGATCCCCCGCGTGTCTCCGATCGAATCCACAATCTCTGCGGCTTCGCGACATCCGTAACCGTGGGCTTCTTCCTCTGCGTGTAGGTTTTCATCCGCTACCCACCACTTCTTGCTCATTATCTTGCATTGAACACGTGATCGTACGTGATTCATCCTCCCCCTCCTCCCAGAAGCGTTCGTAACGTCGCAGTTGATCGATGGAGAATTTTTTGGTCATTTGTTGCGAGAGTGGAAGTCACCATCTCTCCTGATTCCTCGAGAAAACGAGATGTTTTGGATGGATCGTTCTTTCGAGACTCGCTGTTCGTCTTATTTCGCGGTGTTTCCTCGATTTGTTTCTTTGCAAGGAAACGAGAATATATATTGTGTTATTTAAAAGAGTTGAGAGAAGATTTATACGTCAAATGTTGTAAGAATAAAATGAAACGAAGGAATTGGACAGGGCATTCTATTGAATAAGAAGAGAGAATAATTATAGAAAATATTCCTCTTTGCAATACGTTAAATGGTGGAAGTGACACCAAAGTGTCGAATGATCGATAATTATATTTTTCCCTTCTCTCCACGACTGGACGATACACGCACACGTTGAACGTTTAACGTAAGATTTATCGGATTTGTGGAAAGATAACGCGATATCAATACGTCGTCATAATGGAATAATGGAAAAATGTTGAGACAGGAGAGAAGCAATTACGCGAATTCAGTGGTCAGTTTCTGAAACAGGAGAAGTTGGAGTGGAAAAAGAAGCGAGCGAAGGAAGAAAAAAAAAAAAAAAGGAAAACGGTGAAGGGTTGTAGGAAACGAGTCGATGGAGGGGGAAACGAAGGGTGGGTGTACGTGACCGGGGATCGAATGCGGCAACTGTTGAATGGATGGCTTACCGATGAAGAACACGACCGCCTAATTCGATTCGAGGAGGGGGGAAAATAGTTTTCAGGTGTTTTCCCCGTACAGACCGTGATGTCTCTTTAGCGGGTCCACGATCGGCCTGATTTAGATGTACTTGCTACCTGTTTCGACTTCTCGATCGCGTTCCTCGAATTCGATTCTCTCCATCCACCTGTCGACGCCTGTCGTCTGTCGCACCTCTGGCATGCGCTAGGAAACACCTATGAACACATTGTTTGGACAAGTTCCAAGTAGACAATTGTGAGAGCACGTGACGTCGATTGGAATTTAAAGTTTAAAGGACAAGTTTGCTCCGAAAATATTGAAAATAACGATCCTTCGATATTAATTTTTTTTTTTTTTATCAAAAAGAATTTTGGATAATTGGATAAAACTAAAAAAGAAAATTCGAGATCCGTCATTTCGACAAATTTTTTGTACATTCGTAATTTAATTTCGGTAATTCTTTTTTTTTTTTTTTTTTTAGTAATAAAATTATAAAATAGGAATATATATCGTTAAATAACAAGTTACGTTTTATTAAAAAAAAAAAGCAAATTTTTAATTTTACGCTAAATTAAAAAAGGGTATCGAAATATTAACAATAAAGAGTTCAATCAGTCGCGGAATTTTTTTTTTTTTAAATAATTCTCGTGAGTTTCGAGAACGACGCGAACATATTGCACTCATTATTTCAAAATTAAATACTAAACTCACGTTTAACGTGATAGTAATGATTCTCGTATATCGATAATGTACATCTTTCCGCCTTGATATCTCGATTCATCACGGCGCGATTTTCCCGCTTTTATCGCGAAACAGGATCAAGCGTGAAAAAAAAAAGATCGAACGAGGAGTGAATATTAGCTTTCCCCGCTCCCTCCCTTTTTCCTCCGCGTATCGATTCAAATCCCGTTTATATTTCATCGATCGATCCGTGGATCGGGCGAATAACGACGGAAATCGAGTGAAAGGGCATCTGGCACTATAAACATAAATCATCATAACGCACGGCAGATATGGCGGCGGAACGAGGCAGGTAGGGTTGGTACGTTATCAATGCTAAGCATGCACATAAAAACTGTCCCTGCGTGATACGATGCGTGATTCATAGGACAATTAATTCGTGGCGATAGAACGGACATCTAGGGACATCGTCAAAATACAAACGTGGGATACAAACGTCATTTCATCACGCTTCGTTATCTGTCGCCTATTTTTGAAATCAACAAAAAAGAAAAATGGGGGAGAGAAAGAAAGAGGGAAGATGGAGGATTTTCACTGAAGGCGAGATAGAACGGAAATCAAATTCGGTTTTGAAAAAGCGGAGATTGAAACGAGGAGGATTAAGATTTATCGATCCCCGTTAATTTGGAGAATCCCTCTCTATTTGCCGAAAAACATGGGCAAATTCGAGAATGAATTGGTATTGTTATTGTTGCGAGGAATTATTAGATGGCTCAATTCGAAGATACCATCGTACAATGAAATGTGCAACGGTTGAAATTTAACGCGTGAAAATTAATTGGAATTTGTAAAATCTGGAGAAAGGAATATTATAACGCGTTCGGTCATTTAAATATTCAGCTTGGATACGTTTATCTTCCATTCGTTTTTCCTACGTCTTTGCTTTTGTTCATTTGTTTCGATTTGTTTATTTGCCCGCCTATAATTTATTAGTTTACACAGTTCAATTCCCGTAATGCATAGGTATATATATATATATACCTCGTACATACGATTGAACGAATTAAATTAACAGTGAAATTTTATGGGTCGTCTCTATACAGAATCCGCGAAATCTATTTGATTTCTTACGCACGAAATTAAAACTTTGACCGATACGAAATTTGGAAGAGGGTGTTGTATGGATCGTAGAGGATCTCGATTTAACCTCGATTCAAATCCCGTGCGTATCACGATTGCGCTCACGTTTTGACGTTTATATTTCAGCCGGAAGAGAATTGGATGGCGATTCGAGGGGCTACAGAAGCGCGGAGGAGCAGGCACGCGAATTGACGCGCAGCATTCGCCGGGAAGTGAACAAACTTTCAGAGCAGTGGAACGCCCTAATCGAACGTAGCGATGCGTGGAAGCGGAAACTCGACGACACCGCTAACGTGAGTACTTTACCCTCCTTTTACGTACACAGAAAGCCACTTACCCTCGAGCCGCACTACCCGATATGAATACAAATATTTTGATTCCGTCGAAAGCCGCTTGGCGGCCACAACCATCGATGGTGTGTGCCCCCGTTTCGATCAAATTACCCCACAATTTCGTGACCCCTCCCACCTTTCCCGTCCCGCGAACAATATTCTTCTCGCGAAACTCGTCAAAATTTCTCTTCCCGTGGAATCATCGATCCTATTCCCTTATATTCTTGGTCCATTTTCTGAATTGGAAATTACGAGAAATTCGTGAAATAATAAGGCTTCTTGTTTATTCATTATCAGCTTCGTAAATTTTACAAAATTAATAAATCGGCATATTACTTGTGCGAGAAGAAGTTCGGCCTGAATTATTCAAGATTTTGCCATCGTTTTATTCGAGCGAATATATGGTTGAATAAAAGTTGAAACGCTGATGTAACACAAATTTTCGTTTTAATAGTATTCAGCGGTAGAAAGTTTGGATTGGCGCGCTTACCGGGTCACGAATTTATCAACATCGTGCAATGTGTATTGTGTAGTCTGCGAAAATGTCGTCGCAGTTAGAAATCCATATGAATTTCGGAATATATTGTTACAATACATTACCCCCCTCCCACCCGGAATATTATTTAAACAAATTTGTCACGCAAATGCGCGCGGAAATATTTTGAATTAAAACACCGTACAACACGTCGTTAATCGATATAATAATAATAATAATAATAATAATACATATTTTCAACGACAATCCATATCCAATACCAAATCTTGAAAATCTTTTCGTTAAACATCCGTCTCAAATCAAATTTAACAAATCGAAAATGCTATTGCATCGTACACCACAGATAATGGGAGAGGGAAGAAAAATATTGCGAGAGATTCGTGGCCCACCTGACCTGAGGAAAACTGAGGATAACTCTCCGGTTACCAACCCCCTCCTCGATAAAATCAGATTAAACGGTACATCTGGAAGGATAAACAAGCGAATGTAATATTTGGACTTATCGTGTGTTATATCGGTGGATAGGCGGAGGGAAAGAGAGGAAAGAGAGGAGGGGGTTGGTTTTGCTCCAAGTTCAATTCATTCCCTTCGGCCCCTTCGTCGTCGTCGTATCGCTTTATTATTGCCGGTACAATTTTCTCTATCGCGTGGACGTTCCATTTGTCGAAACGATTTTGTCGTCCTCCCACCCTCTTTTCCCTTTTGGGGAAGGGAGGAGGGAGAAACTAGCCGAAGCTACACTTTGGTGTATCGGTGGATCCGTGGCATGTCGGGAAAGAGGAGGAGGGGGAAGGCCGTGGAAAAAGTGTCCCTGTAAAGGCGATTTTTCGTCGTTCCACCCACAGGAAGGAATACCTACCCTTTCCACTGCTATCCTCTATCTAACGACCTCGAAATTCTTGCGGAACCGCCTCCCGTTTTTCCGCCTTCCGCGATACAACACCGAATTACCTTCGTTCCCGGCGATCCGCCTTTAATACGGGTCGGGAAAACACGTATATTACCTTCGTCATCGGGGAGAAGACGAGTGATTATCGACGGTGGCCATTTTCGCGAGCATTTCTTAGAATTCGTTCAATTCAGGGAAGATGAAATTTTTCGTTTCCTTTTTCTTTTTCTCTTGTACAAGCTCGATTGATCAAAATTATCGAATATATCGATTGGCGATCGGTGAGCAATCTTTGATTTGAAGTGTATTTTAATTAAATTGGCAAAGTGAGAGTTTTCGACAGGTATTTATTATTTTTACGATAATAATAAATTATTCTATCGTGGAATTGGAAAAAGTTTATTACAGATTTTTATCGTGATCGTGTGGTATAAAATATTAAATATATTTTCTATTCGCTACGACTCGTTGGATCTCGCGTGTGTATATAAAAAAAAAATCCACTCCTGGAAATTAAAATATCCGTTAGATTTAATTCGTCCTATTAAAAATACATTTTCATCCCGATTACGGGGAGAAGAGTGGAGAGAGAGAGAGAGAGAGAGTCCGCTGATTATTCACCCATTATAAAAGTGGCATCGCGTAGCGAAAAATCTCGTTTCGAAGCCGATGAAGAAGGTGAGATTTACGATGAAGAAGGTAAATTGGCGATGCATCGATAATCACGTTCGATTCACCCGTTACGACGAAACTCGAAGTGTAAATCGTTTTTTGCACGGTCGTCAAAGTTTAATGCCGTGGATGGAATGCATTTCTCTCTTTTTTTTTTCTTCTTCTTCTTCTTCTTCTTTCTCCTTTCTTCTTTTCCTCCCCGCTTTATGAATTCTGATTTCATAACCGACTTCGCGATTTGCATCTCGCTACTGACGAAAGCGCCTTCGTCGATGGGGGATGTTGTCGCCAATTTCGCGACATCGTTCCCTGTACAATAGGATTCGTGATGCGTGTACGCAATATCGCCTGCTTTATAGACAGCGCTGTTCGATAATATCGATTACCTTGTAGTCCTTCTGACGGGTAGTGATTGCTTCTTCTCCGTTGCGAGCGAACACGAGTATATATATATATAGGGCGGGGGTGTCTATTCATCATTTTTGTTAAAAGAGTATATAGAAGCCTCGTAAAGTATCATTATTCTTATAATCATTTGCCAAGATAGGCTTGTTTCACATTTCTTTTATAATGAAAGAATGTTTAACAAGAGGAAGAAATGTTTCGAAAGACTTGTTATGATGATTGTTGAGAATAAAAATAACAGACGATGGATCGCGCTTGGAATTACGTTCGTTCGTGTCGATCAGGGTAAAATGAATTTATGAATGTGTAATCGTCACTAAATTCATAAATGCGAGAATTTCTTTGTTCTATTTTTATTTTCCTCTCGGGCAATTTTTTAAATCGAGAGATTTTCGAAGAGGAGTTTTCCACTTGCGAAAAATTATGACTACTAAATACTCGCGGAGTAACGATAATTATTTCAATGGATATAATTTTTTTCTTTGGTTTTCAAAAGGAAAACTTGTTCGACGTGTTAAAGAAGGAATTTATAGCCGGATGAAATAACTTGGAAAAAGAGAATCCGTTCACCGAAAATCAATGAACAATTGATCCGGACAATTGATTTCAATGCTCGACAAATCATCGTGAAATTCCTCTCCTCGAGGATATAATAGCGCTAAACGAATCGCTGTCGGTGGAACCGCCTCGTTCCTCGAGAGCCACCGAGAAGACTCAAACGCATTATTTCCACCGTGGTGGACCGTCAAAGGGGGCGAACTCGCGTTGAAAGGTCGAGCCGGCCGCTTAACCCGGAACTTAACGAGTTCGACGAAGAAGGTAATAACTTCTTTTCAACGACGCTTAAAATAACATCGGAGGCCGTGGAGGAATTCGTCTTAATATAATTCGAGCTTTACCCCCTCCCACTCCTTTCTGCCTTTCGAAATTCGAATAACCGATCCTTTGTTCAATTCGAAACCGACCCGAGACTTGGCCACGTTTTCTTGGTCCAAGTTAACGCGATATCCCAGTCGCGATTGCTCGTTTTCGCCCCCAATTGAAACGAAAATAATGGTTTCACGATGAAAACCGCGCCAAACGTTTTATAATTAAAACGGAGAACGTTTCTCTTCGTTCGATATACAGGGCACATTCGACGATAAAGAGTTGCTTCGAGGATATTTAATTAGAGTGGCACGATTAAACGAGTGGAAATCCTACGAGGAAGAGGAACTAGAGGATGCTTGTGTTGATTGTGCGCGTGATTCGTGGGATGTTGAAATTGCTTGCGCATTTTCATAAAAATTTGACAGTTTTCTCACGTCGAATGATTTATTTATGCGAAATATAGAATTAGATTCTGTCCATTTCACGCTCGACGTTAAAAGGATTTCGTTTGAGATCAGATTTCAAAGAAGTTTTCCGAAATTGCGAAAAAATATTGCGCTCAACTTGGTTTAATTAAAAATGCAGTATAAAAAAAAGTGTGAAAAGAAAGAGTTTTTAATATAATCGTCGGACACGTTTCAAAACGATCCCCTTTGAAATGGAAAAGAAAAAGACACCGAAAAAAAGTAAACATTGGAACATCGCAATCGATAAGTTTGATCAATTAATTATTCGTCCTGTTTTCCCAAAAGATGAAACGTAAAGCCTGTTAAAATAACGGGAATTCGTCGTCATTCGACCGCATTCTGATAACATTTCGAAATCGACACGCGCTTATTATCCTCCCTCCCCGAAAACAATACTTTTACAATCGATATTGAAAACCAAATCGACGAAAAATTGACGGGACGAATCGAGCAAGAAATCTCGGTTAAAACATGGGCGAACAATTAAAGGAATGCGAACGATCTCTTCTACGATCTCTTCGATACGGTATAAACGAAGAATGATCAAAGTTTCCGCGCAATCAGCAAGTTCCTGCCGCGAATGCATAATTCATGAGCGAAACACAATTTAACTTTTAAATTCCACGTGCTCTGCCCTGGCGCGCTTTAATTATCGGCTATCCGGTAATTACAAGCGACACCTTCGCTTTTCCTCTCGGTCAGATACCGTAATATTAATTCGATTCATCGCCACCATTCACCCCGTGATTTCAACCCCTGCGAGTCGGGGGAGGATCGTGGAATTTCGTCGAACTGAATTTTACCCTTCGTCCTTCGTGTGCACGCGATTCGGTTTAAGCTTAATCTTATGGAAGATCGAGGTCAAGTCTCTGCCAAGCTTCTGGACGCACGCGTGAATATTCAAGATGGAAGGGGATATAAAAGTTTCGAATGTGTGACCCACGTTATTAGAAGATTTATAATAAAATGACGTTACACGTATAGCTTTCGATAGATTTTATTCTTACGATTTGTAATACGTATGAAACGTGAGTCGACAATTGTGAAAGGGCATTACTTTGATTCGTAACTAGGATATTGAAGAATGTTGCGAGTGCGTTGTTGCATCGAATGAGAACTAAAACTTGATCATCTAGGTGATCAGGTTTTTCAGGTTTGAAAA